CCGACCTCTCCCCTCCCCCCTCCTCCTCGTCTCTGCTCATCGATCCCTATGTAGCTTGGCCATGGATGGATGGGCTTTTCATTTGTCTGTCTGTGGCGATTCAACGATTTTCCCATATCACGAGGCCCCGTTACTGTGCTACCTACCCCCCCCCCCCCCCCAGCCGGCGGTTCCTGAGGCTCTACTCTAGCTTCTACATGTACCTCCTGTACCTAGCAGTGAGACCGCGCGCGCGCGCGTGTGGGCCAGTTCCCAACATCGCAACCACAAAATCTTGAATCATGATCCATGGAGCAGACAACCAGCAGCTCAACGACGTCGTGGGTACAACTTTTATTACGTCGTTGCGCCCACCGCCCGCTGGTACGGGTCGGTAGAAGTATGGATGCTATGCTAGCTGACGCTCCGGCAAAACCACGCCGATATGCAGACAAAATCAATTCCAAATCGTGAAGATTAGGAGGAGGAGGAGTCATGTCACGCATCTACAATAGGGACAGAAAGATTGGACGGGCAGTAACTAGTAGGCGCAGGGCAGAAGAGGCGAGGCGAGGCAGGGCAGGGAAAAACACGGGCAAATCTCCTGGTAGCGATGAACAGCTACCGGTAGTACCCGCACCCTCTGATCACCCCCCCCCCCCCCCCCCCCGCGGCGGTCGGTAGCTGGCTGGCCGTAGAGTAGCACCACAACCCGCCATCATCGTCATCATCGAAAAAAATTTATTACTCGAAAGATTATTGTTCGTGTTCGTGTCGAGTCGTGTCGTGTCGTCGATAAGGGTCATTCATGCCCATCACTCGCTCTCATCTATCCGCCCATTAAAATAAGAAAATAAAAAAAGATATATCAAAGTCATCAAATTATACCCCCTCCCTATCCCTCACACGCGCCGCCTTTTCGTTGACGTTGTCCCGGTACAATTCAAATTCAGCACATCACTGCTTGAATTCAACCCGGCCGACCAACCAACAGGAGGCCGAGAAGGGACCCTCTCTCTCTTCGCACTCGCACCCCACCGGCTATGAACAGTCAAATCTCAATCTCGCTTGTCGGTTTTTTTCCACTTTGAACTAGATAAAAAAATATCTGCAGGGGTCTTTTTTTACTCATTTTCATGGTGAGATCTATGTATCTGGATATTGGCAAACAAAAAAAAAAATATTTGCCATATCAGATTTCACCTTTTTTCTTTTTCTTTTCTTCACATCTTTATTCACTGATCGACCCTTTATTTATTCCCTGACCCTTTTTTTCCTTTCCCCCCTTCAACCTGACCTGCTGTCCGATGTCTCACGGAAGAAAGAAGCGACACCAAGAGGGCAGAAAAAAAATTATCCGGGAAAGCTAGCTAGCTGCTAGGTTGAAGATCACACATGCGCAAAAAAAAAAAAAAAGGAAAGAAGGGGTTGCCTACTCCTCTAGTCTCTAGATACTATATGTAGAGACTATTATTTTCCCCTTCCTTATCCCTGGTAAATAGACGATGGGGGAAAAAAAGTGATAGGAAAAAAAAATTAAAAGATTACCGGGAAAGTAAAAAAAGGAAAGAAAGGAAGAAATATGACGTTCCACTACTCTATCTTGCTGTGTCGCATCGTGGGTATATATGGCAGGGCCACTATGTACCACTGTAGTACCACTGTGTAGACTTAGAGTAGTACCTATATACCCTAGGAACATGTACCCCGCAAATCCCAAGGCAAAGTGCGGTCGAGGCGGGGGGGGGGGGGGGTAAGGAGATCGGAGAAGAGAGCTAGACAATTAACTGAAAGGACCCTTACCCGGCAGCGAGTGGCAGCGCAGAGGTGAGGTTGAGGGTCAAGGTGGGAAAGGGTATGATATCATCACCTCATAAACACGGTTAACCGAGTCGATACGCTCCCCCAGTCCAGTCCAGTCAGAGGTACCGTAGAGTAAAGTGCCCCACGGAAGATCTGCCCATCCGTCGCTGGTTCGCTGGCTGGCTGACTGGCTGGCTGGCTGGGAATGCCTACCTGGCGGGTAGTGTTTCTAGAGTGGTTAGAAAGGCCCAATTGCCCAGTAATAAATTACTGGACGGAAGATTCGCAGAGTGCGCATTTTTCAGCCTTGACAAAAAAACTTGATGAAAAAAGAAAAAAAAACACCTCCTAAGGATCTCGAAGCGTTCGAGCACATTGTAAACTAATCCCCCTCCCACCTCCACCTCCTCCCAATCCCCAATCCCCATCTCCATCTCCAGGCCCAACCCCCAACCCACGAAGATAAAACCGACCCCCCCCTCAAAAAGCAAACCGGCCATTACAGTGCAGTCTAGCCCCCAGCCCCAGCCCGACAATCAATTGCCCCAAATTCCAGGGCCGACTAGGCCCTCTGGGGCTCCTCCGACAGGTGAAAAGAGAAAGAAAAAAAAGCACTACCCAGCAAGAGGATCGCCAGGGTTAAACTAGAGTAAGGAAGAAAGAGAAAAAAACCATGGAAAAGAGTTAAGGAGCTTCGGGATCGGCGGTGTGTCCTGACGTCGACTTGCGGGACCGAGTTGGTGAGAATGGGGTAACTGGGAGTGTCGTTCGTTTCACTACGTATTTCTCGTACGTTTCGCGGGGTGGGATGGGATGGGATGGGGAGCTAGAGGGGAGGGGTAAGGCTACTGTAGGTAGTTTTAAAAAAAATTTCCCCTCTGTCTGAGGAGGAAGGAGGAGAGGGGGGTTTGATTGATAGATAGATAGATCTGTAAGTCAATACGGGGGCCGGGCGGTGCGGGCGGGTAGATAGAGTAGAGCAGAGTAGAGGGAGTGCTGTAGGGATATCGATATGGGGGATGGAGCGAGCGAGCGAGTGAGTGAATGAGTGAGTGATCATGGGTGAGTGAGTGTGAGTGAGTGGGCGTCATCTTGGCCTATGAATGACGACTAGACTGTATGTACTGTACCTACTCTAGGGCGACTCCTTTGCATGCATTTTGGCGATACATACGACTGAGATTGCAATTGACCACTGACAGGGCAGGATGTTGTAGCTTCATCTTTTCTTTCTCGAACCAAACCAGCAGTTAACCCCGCACTGTACGTACTGCTACTAGCTAGTCTAAGTAGAGTAGGGCTTAAGGCCTCCCTCTATGAATAGAAAAACTACATCCATGGAGAGTGTGGAAAATAGATACCCCCGCAGCTAGCTCCGTCAATTGGCATCCGTAGAAGCTTCCAAAACAAAGAAACCAGAAACCAGAAACCTGGAGGAGGAGGAGGAGGAGGAGGAGGAGGAGGAGGAGGAGGAGAGGAGGAGGAGGAGGGAGTGAGGACGACGACACGAGGGTAATACAACAATTACAAATACTAGCATCCATCTGGCCGGTCCTTGAGATCATTACCCACCGGATACGGTATGCCCGCCCACACTGAAACCCTCAACCCTCCCCTCAACCCTCCACTCCGGCCCGCTGTTGGCGCCATTCCCGCGGGGAAAAAAGCCGGCCCCCTTTGCTTATTCTTTTAGAGTACTTTATTATTGCGCTAGTAACTCTGAAGATTTCAATTTCGGTGCTTCGGTGCCTGAGCGTACATACGTGCAGTGCAGGGCGACGCTGGAACGCTGGACGCTCGCCGTTAATAATGGTGCTGTTAATTCCGCGGCGTATAGGGATGGAGCGAGGGAGGGAGGGATAGATGGGGCATGGACGGGCAGCGCAGGCCTAGTAGGACGGGTGATACGGTACGATACGGTTGTTGATGGGCCTGGCTTAGGTACAGGTAGAGTACTTGGGGATAAGTAATACTCGGTAAGGTCGGTACGGTATGTTGAGTGCGTATACGTATGTACATGCCATGTATTTGGCAGTCAGCAGTCAGTGATAGAATAGTAGCAGTAGTAGCACGCGCAGTCAAGGAAATCACACCAATAGCCAACTGCGCTTGCACCGAGTGAGTGCGCGTGTAAAGTGCTTTGCTAATAGTACCTTCTTTAATTTACACCTACCCACTCGGCGTCCTTATGGAGGGAAAAAAAAAAAAAAAAAAATTTCTGCTCGCGCGACCTCATCTCCAGACGTACTTGCACCCCAAACAGCCGCGAACCGTCGGCCCAAATGTCTCTAATCACTGGCATGTGCGATGCTTGCTTGCTTTGCTAGCTGCATGCATGTTCCTTACTGGTCGGGTTTGCGTTTACTTTACATGGTGGCCTGGGTTTAATTGCTGGGTCCCTTGCTGGTGGAGGAAGGTGCTGTGTAGTACAAGAGGGCCATGCTGATTGATACATAGATACGTGCTTGCTGGTATTAATATGAGAGACTTGGGCTGGCATGGGCTGCGCATGCACCCCGCAGAAAAAAGGTGGTACCTAGAGGGGGAGTATCTAGCTGAGTTTGGATTGATTAGGGATCGAGGGTCCATTTTGGGGGGTGGTCAATTGGGGGGTTGAAACTTGAGAGATTGTTTTTCTTGTAGGTAGTGATCCTTCTTCAATTCTTCTTATTCTTCTTGAATCCTATGTAGTAGCAGCAGTAGTAGTCGTAGTAGTAGTAGTAGATAGTAGAAATCCCCAGCAGCGCGAAGATATAAAAAAACAGCCATTAAACTAGGTTTTTTTTTTATACAACCCCCCATCATATCGTTAAAATAAACATGAAAAAACACAAAAACACCCAATTCTTTTTTCCCTCCCCGGCCAGCTTCGATAATCAATCAATCGCGAAACCCATGCTACTCCCTTAATTCCCTTTCCCTATTCCAATTCCCTTCCGCGCAATGGTAGTTGTAAAAACGACAGACCTGGTTAACAAGCAAAAAAAAAAAACCAAAGCAGATAAACTCCATAAGAATGACTTGGCCAAAGAGAGAAGAAATAATAAAAACACAATTCACACACTCCACTCATTCATAATCATATCACCACAAGAAGGTTTGAAAAGCAAAAACAAAAAGCACAAAAACCCCACCCAAAGTCCAAAATAAAAGAAGAGATATAAAAGAAACAAGACCCCAAAAGGGATCAAGGCAGTATCCAGAGCTCCTCATAGCCCCTATACTCCCCGTCCAACAACAACGCCACCACATCCACCATGGCCTCCAAAGCCCGAAAAGAACCCATCACCATCCTCCAGCGTCAGCGGCGTCACTGGCCCTGGGCTGCCCAGCGGGATCAAGCGCGGCGACATTGGCCCCGTGCCCAGCAGCTGTGGGATGCGCGTGGCCTGGTGGATTATCTCCTTCTGGTGGAGCTGGAGCTGCTGCTGCGCCGAGAGCGAGTGCGCGTATGAGGCCAGCTTCGACGAGGGTACGGGAGATGGTGAGGCGGTAGGTGCGGGCGTGGACGGCGTGGGAGCGGTGGTGGTCAGCGTGAAGGTTGTGGGGCGGTTGGGAAGCATTGTGGTGGGGGAGGTGCGGGTGCGGGATGGACTTCGCGGGTGGCGGTGGGGATGATGGGCTTGGGGGGTGTAGTAGTGGGATTGGCTCTGGTTTTGGGATTGGGATTGTGGTAGTGCCGTGCCCGTAGTGGTAGTGGTAGTGGTAGTGGTAGTGGTAGTGCTTGAGCTTGTGGTAGTAGGCGACGACGCAGTTGAAGATGAGCGCGAGACGGTATATATATTCGAATTGGAGCTTTGACTACTGATGCTATTGCTAGTAGTGGTAGTGGTAGTGGAAGTGTTATTATACCGACGCTGAGAACCAGTTAACTGTAGCTGCTGTGGCGGAAAGTACGAAGGTTGGTGCTGATGTTGTGTCGAAGGGGAGGGGATACAGCTGGTATTTGAACCCCAAGCTGAACAGCAGCTAGTGCTAGAGGAAGACGGTCTGGGGGACGGCGACACCATCGTGACCGCTTTACTTAATTTGACCGGGGGGGAGGAGGTGCGTGTGGGTGGGTGGATGAAAGATCTAATTTTTGGGTAGAAGGAGCTCGGGCGCCTGTCTCACTTTGGGGGTGGATTTGTTTTTGAGAAGGTGTGGGTGGTGGGAGAAAGGGGACGGTCTGTCGGGTGGGTGAGGGTCACGAAGAGGCGTTTTGCGAATTGGTGTAGCTGGGGAGAGTAGTACTACAGCTACAGTAGTAGTAGTAGGAGATGTAAGTTGATAATACTTGGGGCTGCTGCAGCGTCCGTGCCGTGGGAAGGATGAGGAAAAAAAAAGAGGTGTATGTAGGTAAGGTATGGTAAGGTAGGCAGAAAGCAATTGTAGAAAGACTACAGTCCAGGAAGCACAGTTGCCGGGCAGATGTAGTTACTTTATTTTTTTATTTTTTTTCTGTTCTGGCTGGGGGGAGGCGAATATTGTGTCCCCATGGGATGTGATATATCCACTTTGCTCCACCACTAAACTAAACCCCCCCCGGTAATGGATGTGTAAATGAGCAGAGCTCTACTTACTGAATACACTCAGTGAGCACGCCAACAAGCAAGCAGCAAGCAGCAAGCATTCCACATACAGCAGCAGCCTGGGGTACGGTCAGGATACTGCTTATTGCGGCATTACACAGCAACATCCCCCAACCCATCCATGGTCAACCCAGAAAGAGTACTAAACCGGGACAATTGAATTTCTGGGAACACAGCCTTGAAGTTGAGCTTGAAGTTGAATGACAATGCGGCAATAGTACATGTAGGTAGATACAGTATGTAGTAACTTAAGGCTACAGCAAGTAGAATAACAGCAGCAGCAGCAGCAGGACGCACAGTAGAAAAGTATAGTACTATACATGCTCCGCTATAGGTGGTGGATAATTGAATACTTCCATGAAAGAAGAGCAGCAAGTAAAAAAAAAAAAAAAAAAAAGAGCGAGGGCCAAAGATCTACCTCGGAATTCTTCCATCCGCCGCGTGACCTCTCACTTTCGTGGGCAAAGCAAAGCCAAAGCCCAAAGCCAGGAAATTTTCCCAGGGCCAGAACCAGGCAATCAAGTCAATCAATGCAGGCGCCTCTTTTTCTGTTCACTATACGTGTGTCGTCGTTTCTTTTTCATGTTTTTTTGCCCGTGTCGCCCGTGAGTGACGAGACTTCACGATAGTCGTTAGCGCACCCAGGTTGCTAGTACGTTAGAGTCAGTCAGTAGATTAAGTTATCGTATCGTAACCAACTCAACCAACCAAAGCAGCCCCCAGGTTATATAGGGTCCAGACTATTTTCGCTTGCAGCTTGCTTTCGATGGTCATTCACTCTCGTCTTCCTTGATTGCTCAGCTCATGTCCGCCCGGATGCACGATACCCAGCTTTAGAGTTTTTTTTATTTTTATTTTTATTACTATCCTTTCCTCCCACTTCGTATGTACGTAGTTGTGGAGTCGATTTTGTGTAGTTACGCATCCAGCTACGGGGTTCCACGCAGGGACGACGAGATCTCGAGGTTTAATTGAGACATGGAGCCCCGCTAATTTCAATGCAAGCGGCGACGTCACTGCTCAACAACAACAACTCAACGCAAAACGGAAGTCACGGTCATCCAGACAGAACACAGCAGCCCCATGCGCAGCCGGTAGCACTAGGTACAATCCGATTGTGGAAGGGAAGACGGGAGTGTTTCCCAGGTCAGGTCTCCGACTCGTTACCTCTTTTGGGAAGAAGTACGCGCAAAGCCCAGCGAGCTTCCCGTGAAACATGCAGTAAGCAAAACGAAAGGACGAAGAGGAAGAGGAAGCAAAATCGTACGATCCATACTCTCTGATTCGCAGAGAAAATACACCTACGAATCGTGGGATGTCAAGACTTTCCCTTGTCAACGCTCAGCGAATGGACAGCTTCGTAGGGGCTAGAGCGGTTAATCGACGCCCAGTTTGGAATGACTGAAGCGCAATGATCACGCAAAATACCTAGACTTGATGCCCAACAAGGAACTGGACCGGAAAACAGACCTTATAAAAAGGAAACATCAGACAGATAGAAAAAGCAAAACAAGCACGTTAACGTTAGATCCTACGCTCGAGCCAATGTTAGACCAGAGGTTTATCAAAACACTACGCTGGCTGATGATTACGCCACCGGAGTACCGGAGAGGGTTCAGGGTGCTCAGATAGAACCTTATTTGGGACCAGAGATCTGGTGGGGGGGCCTGAGAATAGCCTGACTGTCACGTCACGCTTTTAGGGGGTGGTAATGGTAAGTCTTCTATTCTGCAAATGTTGTGATGTAGGCAGGTAAGACTCTGGTCGTTATCATGTTGTTTCCCTTCCATTACCGGGGAAGCAATATTGTGATTGGGGTCTTTTGTGTCTGGCTTGGTATTTCGGTCATCCACGTTGATTTTGATTTGTACCATCTATAACGCAACAACGTTAACATACATATGTACACATACATGAGTTACATGGTTACAGATTTTTTCTTTCTACATATTTCTCCACAGTTCGATTTAGAATCACTCTTTCTTTCTTTTTCTCTTTTTTTTTTTTTTTTCTTCCGTGGGGAAAGGCCGAAGTCAATTTTGTATCATGCACATACATACCTCACAAAAAGAAAGCTAGGCAGAAAGAATGAAAAAAGTTAATTCTTTTTCAGGAAAAATTGGAGTCTCGGAGCGGAAAATTCTTCTTAGCTGAGATTTTCATCTGCGTAAGATCAGTATCGTATAGGAAGGCTACACACGGGGAGTTACTGAATGTACCGGGACTTTATTCATCTCCGAATCATTTCCAGTGGAGCTCTGTATAGGTGGGGCAATTATTCACAACAGGATGGTGTTGGTCCTTCTCAACGGGCGTGACTGAAGATTGCCGTGACGGTAGTTGCGCTTACGCTTACATACAAGTGCGCGGCGTTGAAGATCTTCAGGCATGGAAGAAGATCTTGGAGAGAAAAGAAGTGTCTTTACCGAGCCGTGGAGATCATGTCTTTGGGTTCGGTTGTACCTTCTTTTGCGCTGCAGATCTATTTTCCTCGAGTAAAATTTCCTTCTCGTAGTCAGAGCCAATTCTCTGTAAAAGAATTTTGCATGCTAGAGTCCAGTATTCGGGGGAAAATTTGTGCACCTGGATGTGCGTTTCTTCGGGTTGTTGCGTTGACTTGAGAAATTGTAAGCAGTATAGAGCTGGATGCCTAGGATATTGCCATTTAGGGATACGTTCTGAGCGTCTTTATAACATAACGCAAGCCCTGTGGAGAACTAATACTACTCAGGTAGGTAGTGAGTGTTGTGTACGAGCAGGGCATCCGTCCTCGAGCAACCCCGTGGACAACAACATCAAGCAAGCACTGGTTAACATTCAAACAACGAAACCCGCATCGTACTGTAGAGTTCAGAGGCTTACTTTGCAAAGCAATTCGTCCGGTAGCATCGTTCAAAATGGCTCACTCACAGTAAAAACTTCCCGTCTTTAGGCCAACCGGAGCTCCTTCTGCATTGGATAAGCAAGTAAGTATGTCAGAGGCCATTAGCTGTATAGGATGACATTCAGTACATGTAGTTAGCGAGGTAGGTGGGGGTTTTTTTTCTCCCCCGTATGCCTCCCGCGGCGTGTAATTCGACATTCGTCGTCCGAGAAACATCACTCGCAGAACGTGTTCGTCTGAGTGCTCGCCGAACTCCACGGGAAGGGTTAGGGTTCCGCTATAACTAACTAGCCAACGCCGGGTCACCAACCAGCACTCGCCACTACCACACACCCCTTACTTCAATTCTGCTCGCCCCAAACATCACCGGAACCAGAAACATCTCCATGCATCTCAACCCCGCAAAGAAAGAAGAAAGAAAAAGGCATCCCCGGAATGATGACTGCTTTTCCCATCCCAACGTGTCGGTAGACTCACATGTATCATCATATATGGTCTGCTCAACAAACCTTATCACCCCACAATACCCCAAACAAGAGGAGTGCATTGGAGGCTTAAGAATAGTAATTCTTAAGCAAGGGAGCGACTGGAATGGTGGCGCTCCGGCTACAGCTTCCGGAAGGTCCCGTGTGATGGAAAAGAAAAAGAAGCAGGAGCAGAAGCAGAAGCAGAAGCCATCTAGAAAACTCACACCGCATTGCGGCTTCTCCGCCTGAGACAGATGAGGGGTGGGAGTCAAATGTTTCACAGATAACGGGCCCATTGAAACATGTGCATCAACACACATGGTAAATTTTCAAAGCAGTTGTCTATAGGGGGATGGGGTTTTGGTTCTGGGGTGATGCACCAGTTGCGGGTTGCGGGGCGGAGAGTGGAGGTGGGAATAAGCAATACTCGGATCAGGTACCCGAGTTGTGTGTAACTTGGAAACAAAACGAAACATTTTGTGCCGCTATGGTTGTTACAAAATAACAAACAGTCCGAATCGAAAGCGGTCAAAAGAAAGGAAAGCTTAGCGCTGTCACCGAGCAGGCAGGCAAGAGACCAGTAGGCATGTACATGTATGTATGTCCCGCCTGAAGCTGGCTATTATCACAATCATTGATATACGGCTTCAGCATGTGCTCGACGTACTTGCAATGGTCAAATCCCATAGTCGTAGTTTGACTGACCGACGGTATGCCTTCCGGCTCGGCACTTCCCGTGGTTGCTTCCAGATGATTCGGGGGAGGGTTATTCGCGGGGCATCATGGCGGGGTGAAATTTTCGGCATGGCCAAGAGGTATTGTGATTGGCTGAAGAGATTTGCAAAACCTGACCCTATCCCACGGATTATTGGTGAATCTCACCTTCTTCCGGGTGCCGAAAAACAGGTTAAGTGCTTGTCCCGAGCCCGTTTATGCGCAATTAAATGATTACCGGTACCGAAAAAAGCTACCAACCAGGATTCGGTGATGTTCTATTCTGTAATGCGTTGAGATAGTTACTCTATCCGGACACTGTAACGCGTGTGGGAACAGCTCAATCATAAATAAAGTCCCTCGAACTGTCACGG